GCATGCACCACCACACCTGGCTAATTTTAAATTTTTGTAGAGATGAGGGTCTCGTTATGTTGCCCAGGCTGGTCTTGAACTCCTGGGCTCAAGCAGGTCTCCCACCTCTGCCTCCCAAAGTGCTGGGATTACAGGCATGAACCACTGTGCCCAGCCAAGATTTATTTATTTATTTATTTTTGAGACAGAGTCTTGCTCTGTCACCTAGGCTGGAGTGCAGTGGTACCATCTTGCCTCACTGCAAACTCTGCTACATGATTCTCCTGCCTCAGCCTCCCAAGTAGCTGGGATTATAGGCATGTGCCACCACACCCAGCTAATTTTTCTATTTTCAGTAGAGTTAGGGTTTTACATGTTGGCCAGGCTGGTTATGAACTCCTGACCTCAGGTGATCTGCCTACCTCAGCCTCCCAAAGTGCTGGGATTACAGGCCTGAGCTACCCCACCTGGCCAAGATTTATTTTTCGATGTAGTGTCTGAGGACTAATTTCAGACAAAAACACTGATTTATTATTATTTTTTCTTTTAATTCTATGAATAAATAGTTATTTTACTTATTAAAACTGATGAAGTGGGCATTTTTGAAGTTATACAGGAATTTTAAGCAAGTTAACTTGAGCCTAAAAGTATTAGGCTTAGCAGTCAACTCTGCCTTCTCTTCACTTTGTCTGTTACATTCTTAACTTTTTGTTCTTAAATTATTTCTTATTTTAGATTGAATTAACCAGTAGTGAGAAAGTATTGCTTTGGTGACTTCAGTGGTTTTTACTTGATTAGTCTGATAAATATAAAATCTGGGACAAATGGAACATCAAAAGAAATATACTAATGGATTATAACCCACTGAATAATACAGGAGTCTGAATCCACACTAATGTATGTTTGTAAATAAATAAATGAAGAGTAAACTCTTCCTTAGAGTGGATTGCTGAAGCATAGAAATAGAAGTAATGATGGTGTTAGAGTCTCAATGGATGCCAGAACTAGTGGGTGAATGTTTGATGAAGAAATAGGATATTTGAATATACTCAAGTATCTTCTCAAAATGTACTTTAAAAAATTCCAAAGGGAAAAATACTTTGTTAGACACTACCTTAATCAGCAATCAACAGACTAATAGTATGTGCCTCTTAATATGATGAACTGTGGTATTCCTGCCTCAAATTCACCATCTAGAACTAATCATAGGGAAAGATCAGAAAAATCCAAATTGAGGGATATTCAGCAAAATAACTGGCCTGTAATTTTGAAATTTCAAGACCAGAAATGATGAATAAAGTTAGAGATTAAAGGAAACCATAGGAACTTACTGACTAGATGTAATGTGTGATTTAGGATTGGAACCCAATTTGGGGAAAAATTTATAAAAGACGTTATTGGGATGGTTGGGCGCAGTGGCTCACGCCTATAATCCCAGCACTTTGGGAGGCCAAGACCGGTGGATCACGAGGTCAAGAGATCGAGATCATCCTGGTCAACAAGGTGAAACACTGTCTCTACTAAAAATACAAAAATTAGTTGGGCATGGTGGCATGCGCCTGTAGTCCCAGCTACTCGGGAGGCTGAGGCAGGAGAATTGCTTGAACCCAGGAGGCGGAGGTTGCGGTTAGCCGAGATCGTGCCATTGCACTCCAGCCTGGGTAACAAGAGTGAAACTCCGTCTCAAAACAAAAACCAAACCAAAACAAAAAGACATTATTGGGATAAGTGACCACATTTGAATATGGACCAAGGATTAGATAATAGTATTATACCAGTGTTAAATTCTCAGTTTTGATAATTTTACTGTGATTATGGAAGACAGTCTTTGGAAACACACCTTGAAGTGTTGAGAGGCAAAGGAGCTTAGTGTTTGCAGCTTACTCTCACATGTGTATGTGTACACACATACAGTGAAAGACAAAAGCGGGAGAGAGGGGAAATAGAAGAAAATGTAAACAAACGGTTAATATGGGTAAAGGTATATAGGAATGCCATTTTTGGAATGTTTCCATGAATTTGAAATTATATTAAAATAAAGTGTTCCAAAAAATAAAATTCGTGGCCTTCATTAATTGACATACTTTAAAATCTGATTAGATACAAAAAAGAAAAAAATTTTATCAGATAGGTTTTTTTTTTTTTTTTTTTCAGACAGAGTTTCACTCCAACCCAGTCTGGAGTGCAATGACATGATCTTGGCTCACAGCAACCTCCACCTCCCGAGTTCAAGCAGTTCTTCTGCCTCAGCCTCCTGAGTAGCTGGGATTACAGGAAAGTGCCACTATGCCCAGCTAATTCTGTAGTTTTGGTAGAGACGGGGTTTTACCATGTTGGTCAGACTTGTCTTGAACTCCCAACCTTAGGTGATCTGCCTGCCTCAGCCTCCCGAAGTGCTGGGATTACAGGCATGAGCCACCTCACCTGGCCCAGATAGGGTTTTTTTGAATGTTTGTTTGCTAACTATGAAATGTATTAAGATGAGTATAGTAACATGACAACTTTGTCTATTATTGTGAGTTCCTATTATTAAAAAAAAAAATCAACCATGTGCTACTGTGGTAGACAGAAAAAATGGCACTTTAAACATGTTCATGTCCTAATCACTGAAATCTGTGTTATCTTACATTGCAAAAGAGACTTTGCTGAAGTGATTAATGTTAAAGTCCTTGATATGGGGAGGTTATCCTGGATTATCTGAGTGGGCCAAATATAATAAGCGTCCTTAGACGCTTCCACAAGAGGAAAAGGGAAGAGTGTCAGAGAAAGTGATTGTGATTAGAGAAGCAGGGGCAGAGAGATGTAATATAGCTGACTTTGAAGATGGTATAGTATATGTCTTTGAAGATGGAGGAAGAGGGCTTAGCTAAAGAATTTGGGTGGCTTCTCGAATATTGAAAAGACAAGGAAATATATTATCTCCTGGAGCACCCGTAAAGGAATGCAGCCCTGGTGATAACTTTGATTTTAACATTGTAAGACCTAAGCCTGAGTTCTAAGTTACAAAACTATAAAGTGATAAGTTTGTGTTGTTCTGTGCCACCAAATTTGTGGTAATTTGAGAGAGCAGTAATAGAAAAATCATACATATACAAGAAAAAAAGAAAAGAGAGAAAATAGCATATAATGAAATTCCTTGTCCGTATTACCTAACTTCAACAGTTGAAAATTTGTATTTTTTGAGATAGGGTCTGGCTCTCTTGCCCAGGCTGGAGTGCAGTGGTGCAATCTCAGCTCACTGTAACCTTGGCCTCCTGGCTTCAAGCCATCCTCCCACCTGAGCCTTCCAAGTAGTTGGGACTACAGGCACACGCTAGTGTGCCTGGCTAATTTTTGTATTTTCTAAAGATTGAGTTTTACTATGTTGCTCAGGCTGATCTCAAACTCCTGAGCTCAAGGAATCTGCTTGCCTTGGCCTCCCAAGTGCTGGGATTACAGGGGCGAGCCACCATGCCTGGCCATGACCAATCTTGTTTCATCTTTTTTTTAATTTTTTTAATTTTTTCAAAGTTTTTTTTGAGACAGGCTCTCATTCTGTCACCCACGCTGGAGTATACTGGCGCATTGTCAGCTCACTGGAACCTCTGTTTCCTTCGCTCAAGCGATTCTCCTGCCTTAGCCTCCCAAGTAGCTGGGATTACTGGTGAGTGCCACCATGCCTGGCTAATTTTTGTATTTTTAGTAGAGATGGGGTTTCACCATGTTGGCCAGGCTGGTCTTGAACTCACGACCTCAAGTAGTCTGCCTGCCTCAGCTTTGCAGAGTGCTGGGATTATAGGTGTGAGCCACTGCACCTGGCCTCTTGTTTCATCTTTACTTTTCCGCTCCAGCTTGAGTCCCTCCCCACTTATTTTGATGCAAATTCCAGGAATATGTTTTTATTTGTGAATTTTTAGTATATGTCTCTAAAATATAAGAGCTTTTTAAGACTGGGTGCAATGGCTCATTCCTGTAATCCCAGCCCGATGGGTGGCTGAGGCAGGAGAATCGTTTGAGGCCAGGAGTTCAAGACCAGCTTGGGCAACATAGTGAGACCCCATCTCTACAAAACATAAAACGCATTAGCTGAGTATGGTGGCACATGCTTGTAGTTGCAGCTACTAGGAAGACTGAGGTGGGAGGATCCCTTGGGCCTAGGAGTTGAAGGCTGCAATTAGTTATGGTCATGCCACTGCACTCTTCAGCTTGTGCACCAGACTGAGACTCCATCTCTTATAAAAAGAGGTGGGGGCTTGTTAAAAAAACCCAACATAGTTACATTACCAGTATCTTACCTAAAAATTAATATTTAAGTGTAGATTTTAGAATTGAGAAATTTAACAAGAAAAAGCATTTTACTATGAGAATGGCATGTTATGATTTGTTTAAAAATTCTTCTCTGCTTAAGTATACCTATTTTAGTGACTCTGAAAAAAAATTAAAAAAACAAAAAAACTCTTCTGATATGTTGTTTAAAATACAATATAATTATAAGCATAATTTTTCATTCTGTCATGTGTTTCAGTTTTAGGAACATAATTTAAAATAATTCTAAGAACAAGCAATAAAAATTAGATTTTAATTAATTAATTATTTTTGAGATGGAGTCTCACTCGATTGCCCAGGCTGGACTGCACAGTCTTGGGTCACTGCAACCTCTGCCTCCTGGGTTCAAGGGATTTCCTGTTTCAACTTCCCAAGTAACTGGGGTTACAGGCACTTGCCACCACACCTGGCTAATTTTTATATTTTTAGTAGAGACGGGGTTTCACCATGTTGGCCATACTGGTCTCAAACTCCTGACCTCAAGTGATCCACCCATCTCGGCCTCCCAAAGTGCTGGGATTACAAGCGAGAGCCACTATGCCTGGCAGATTTTAATTTATTTTAAAATATCTAGTTCTAATTTGTATATATATAATATATATATATATAATATGTATGTATATATGCTGGTAGCTCGCTTTAAATTAGAAGCTTTTCATAAAAGTACAGGAAATTAAATTTGATTTCTGATTTAAATATATATTTGGCCTTTTTAGGGTGCTGCAAATAATAACACCTTTTTCCCGTCACAAAATGATCCTAGAATATGCAATTTAAATATTCTGCCTACTGAAGAAAGTACTAGAGAAATTAATTGCAGAGATAATTGCAGTGGAAAATATTGTTTGGAAGCACCTACAATGGCAACATTAGATCCACCTCATACAGGTAAGACTGTTTTTTATTGATAAGGTTTATAATTGACCAATAGTATTATGGTATTCTTTTAATTATGATTTAAGAATGAATATATTATATTAGAAAATTGTTGATGTAATACTAGATTGTTGGTAGTTCAGGTTTTTTATTGTCATAATTTATATTGTGATTAAAATGTACCTTATAGTAGATGTATGCTTAAAACTGTTTATTATAAACTTGGTCAAATGTGGTATTTTCCTCAAGTACCAAGATTGTGTTTAAAGATATGATTTAAAATTTGTTTTCTAAAGAGCATGTTAATAGGAACTAAAATTGGAGAGTTGAACTTGAAATTAGTTAACTGTTAATTCATTACAGTTAATTCTTTACAGTTTGGAGTACTTCGAATCAGAGTTGAATTATTAAGATATATACTTGCACGAAAATCAAGAATTTAACAGATGCTCCATCCCTCTGTTGTTGAACTGAGTTGAAATAATGATTATGGTTCTTTTTATATCTGTAAGGGATCACTATTTGTTAGGTAACTAAAAAAAATAATTAAGATGGTTCATAGATGTTTATTTGACCTTATGAAAGCCATCATTAAGACTGTATTTTTCCAAATTACATTTTGTTTATTTTTTGGTTGAATGAACAGATTTAGCCAGCCAGCCCCATCTGTTGGGCTACAGAATGGTAGCTGCCATCCTTATGATACCAGGGCAAATCAACAAAGTGCCTTAAGCACTTAATCATTTTGAAGGAAGTTTTTGGACTTTCTGATGATTAATGAATTTTACCTGTGAATGGGTTTGTATCTTGAATGGACGGAAAGGAATTCTGTATTTACCTAACTTGCCATTATCTTAGTGCCATTTATGTGTTCCTCATAACTTTTCAAAAGCTGTGAATAGTGTCAGAATGAGGTCTAGAAAGACTTTTTGAGCTAGTTCAATATAGGAAGATCCCTAGGAACAGCTCTAGGCATGTCAGTTTAGCTGCTGCTCTGTCTTACTGATTTGCTGTCCCCTCTTTCTCTCCTATTTTCCCCTCTTCTTACTTCCTTCTTTCCGTCTTTGTTAGGTGACTATTCTGTTTCCTGAGGTTTTCTTTTCTACTTTAAGCCTGAGGTAGATAATGATCCATGTATACCCAGTTCTTTTCTAATTTCTTTACCAGAAAATGACATTTAGATTCTGGAATATAATACCTTCTGTGTTACTGATCGTGGGCTTTATTTGTGTTCTACTATAGTTTCTCATTCTCTTCCCTGCTAAATTTGAGAAGGGAGCTAAGAGTTAAGATAAAATAAAGAGGGAGTTAATTTACTCAACTCCTAATCTGTTAATCCTTTCTCTGATTTAGTACATTCACTGGACTGGGGAACCTGTGCCAACCTCCTGATACCCTCCTGTCTCTGGTTCAGAGAGAGGTTAAACTGGGGAAAAGAGCTTTGTGAGAAATGTTTTGTGGATTGTTGTAGAGGGATGTAGTGTATAGAAAAGCATAGAGATGGGGACCTATTTAGTATCCACTCACCCTTTCACATCCTTTTCATTCTAGATCTAATCTACCTTGCAATGAGCTACAAATTTATATATCCCAGTTAAATAAAATGTTATTTTCCCTATCACCTTTTTACTGAAAAATTCCTACATATTCTCAAGTTGAAAGAATGATCCAATTAACATCCTAAATTCACCAGTTACTAACATTTTGCCTCATTTATGTGCTTTCTCTTTCTGTGTATATGCACTCCCCTCAACCTTTTGAAAATAAGTTGCATATATCATGCCACTTTATTTCTAATCACCCTTGTATTTCTTGAAATAAATGTTTTATCCTGCATAACCATACATTGTTATACAAACAAGATTAATAGTAATTCATAATATTTAGTTCATTATTAATATTATTTGCTTAAGCTAGTTTAAGTTTGGTTTCTCTTTCAGCTGAAAGAGCCCTGATAAGTACATTTTCATTTCTTGAATTCACTGGAAACTTTGAGTCTCTTCATATCACTACCTGTTTGCAGATAATATTCTTTGTGTGAGAATGAAGATATAGGTCTATCACTAATGACTTCCCCCAAAGCTTAGGGAATGTGGTTTCTTCTGGGTTTGTGGTATCTGGGTTTGTGCCCACTTCTATCTTTTTGGTCCAAGCTCCACAGGTCTTTTTTTTTTTTTTCATGAATAATCTAGTTCAGTACTTTCGAGTCTGTGCTTTTAAAAACCATATCCTGGTAGAGGGGAAATGTAGTGGCTTGAATTGTGTTTACTAAAGATAGATGTTAAAATCCTAAGCGTTGGTGCCCATGAATGTGACTTTATTTGGAAATACAGTCTTTGCTGATGTAATCAAGATAGTCATACTGGATTAAGGTAGACTCTAAATTTAATGACTGGTGTCCTTATGAAGAGAGTGATAGAAACATTAGGGAAAAAGGCCACATGATGATGGAGGAAGAGATTGGAATAACCACCCAAGATTGCTGGCAACCACCAGAGGCTAGAAAGAAGCAAGGAAAGCTGGGTGCGGTGGCTCATGCCTGTAATCCCAGCACTTTGGGAGGCTGAGGCCGGCGGATCACAAGGTCAAGAGATCGAGACCATCTGGCCATGGTGAAACCCCATCTCTACTAAAAATACAAAAATTAGCTGGGTGTAGTGTCACGCACCTGTGGTCCCAGCTACTCGGGAGGCTGAGGTGGAAGAATTGCTTAAACCCAGGATGCGGAGGTTGCAGTGAGCTGAGATTGCGCCACTACACTCCAGCCTGGCGACAGAGCAAGACTCTGTCTCAAAAAAAAAAAAAAAAAAGAAGCAAGGAAACAAAGATTCTCCCTTAGAGCCTTCAGAGAGAGCATGACCCTGCTGACACCTTGATTTTAGACTTCTGGTTTTCAGACTGTGAGAGAATAAATTCTGTTGTTTAAAGCCAGCCAGTATGTAGTACTCTGTTACAGGAGTCTCAGAAATGCGTATAGGACGCCCCAGACCTCTTGAATATTCAGAGCTATAGGTTCTTTTGAAACTTTTTTTATTCTTTCTAATTCTTTCTCATTCTGAAGAGCTGTAAGAGGAGACTGTGCTATCTTCTGTTATCTCTTTACCTGACTCTCCTTCACGAAACTGTGACACACAAACTGTGACAAACCTTGTTGAGGTTTTAAATCAAACTACATGGATTCAAAAACATTTTGAGACTGAATGAAGAGATGCTGAGCAATTTATAGTTTTCTGTAGCTGAGTCCCTTGGCTGTCTTTTGGCTTCAGAGTGCTTCAGAGAAGTCAAGTAGCCACAGAGAGGCTACTGGAACATTATAGTTTGCAGTAATATTTCAGAGATTAGTTTCAAAAGTGTTTTGGAACAAAAGTCATGCTGTAATGGATATATGATGAATGAAAACAGGCCAGTGGAGGAAGTAAATGTGAGTAAAGTATGTAAATAAAGTAAATAAAGTAAAGTAAGTAAATAAATAAATATGGTTGTGAAGGAAGTAGTATCTCAAGGAATGGTAGGGGACCAGAGAGTTTTGTTTTGTTTTGTTTTTGTTTTAAGGTAATATGTTGTAGGCTGAGAGGAAGAAGGTAGTGAGGAGTGGAAGATTAAAGATGTAACGGGACTGATAAGTGGTGGAGAGATTTGCTAAATGTTTCTCAGGTGCATCTTAGGTCCTTGAAAATGGTTGGATGTATTCTCAAGGGTTTATACATTCTCAGATAAGTTAGACTTTTGTGTTTTCTTTTAAATGATATGAATAAAGGTGTATAGGCGTGTGCTAGATCTTTTCAGTAGCTGCCTTGTAATTGAGTGCCATTACAAGATTTTATGCCTGCAGATGAGAACAAGTAGACAAACGTATAAGTGGTATACTGTTGTTGCCAAATGAAGGTTTCTCATATTCCAATAGGGATGGTGAATGAATTAAGCCATCACATCCCTTGTTGGAGAAAAGGCTTGTTAAACACAAAAGATGTGTGTCAAATCTGTTAGTATCATATTTATATGTAATTAGCAGTTTAATGTCAGCAAAATATCCCTATCATGAAATTAATGTTTTTAAATATTTCATTGGTTTTATTTATATTTATGTTTGTTTTTTATTGTGATAAAATATACATAACATAAAATTCATAAAATAAGTATTTTAAAGCATACAATTAAGTGGCAGTTAGCATATTTAAAGTCTTGTATAATTGTCACTTCTATCCAGTTTTCAAAACATTTTTCTGTCTCTAAAAAGAAACCCCAGATCAATTAAGCAGTCACTCTCCTTTCTTACCTCTTTTTTCCAGTCCCTGGAAATCACTAATTTACTTTCTGTCTCTGCGGATTTACCTGTTCTTGATATGCCATGCAAAGAGACTCATACAATATGTAGTCCCTTATGACTGTTTTTTAAAAAGGTAATGCATGCACATGGTAAAAAACTCAGAAGGTGTTAATAATACAGTACAAAGTCGGCCAGGTGTGGTGGCTCACACCTGTAATCCCAGCACTTTGGGAGGCCGCGGCGGGTGGATGAACTGAGGTCAGAAGTTTGAGACCAGCCTGGCAAACCCGATGAAAACCTGTTTCTACTAAAAATGCAAAATTAGCTGGGCATGGTGGTACGCACCTATAATCCCAGCTACTTGGGAGGCTGAGGCTGGAGAATTGCTTGAACCCCAGGAGGAGGAGGTTGCAATGAGCCGAGATTGCACCATTGCACTCCAGTCTGGGCAAAAAAGAGTGAAACTCCGTCTCAAAAAGATAAAAAAGGATACAGTAAAAGGTCTCCCTTCCCTGTTATCTAGCTATCTAGTTCCCTTCCCCAGAGGTAACCAGTTAGTTTTTTGTATGTCTTTTTTGAAGTATTCTACATATTTGGAAACATATTTGTATATATATATATTTTCTCCATCTAAATAATTGTTTACTAGCTTCCTTGTTCTATACATTGCATTTTTACTGCAACAGTATATACTGAAATATTTTTGTCAATATATTTATAACTTATTTATTTAAGATAGTGGAGT